GGAAAGTCAAGTAATTCTTGTGCCAAAGCCGTTAAACCAGATGATATTGGTTTAATATTTTTGGAAACAGATTGAGAGACTAACGAGTCATATGCAATAAGGAATATAGTAGGTAAAAGTCTAAATAATGTAATAACATGATCTTTAGGATATATTATTCGAAATAATTATCAATAATAAATAAAATAATATTATAATTACTGTTTAAACAAATCCTGAACTGATAAATTTTCCAAATAGTGAAGTACCTAATAAATAACTTTCTTATTAGAAAACATTTTGGGAAAAGTGAATTCAATTTATAGAAATATATCGCACTTTTTCTCCTTCACGAGTGAACTTAAACAAGGGTTTCTGTCGCCTTGCCGGAATTCTTTTTGATGACTGAAATTATAAAATTCTTAAGTTCAATTCTAAATTATATGAGAAAGAAATTAACATGCGATAAGAATAATAACCTTCCACAATTCTTGCCAAAGATTTCCTTTCTCTTTCATCCGTAAACTAAGAGCTCCCTTGTTCGGATCTCCACCTTCATCAACAATCCAATCACGTGGCGAATGCCATCGAACGAAATCTTCTAATACAGCATGTGGATTTGCGGCTTTGAAGGCTTGCATATCTATATGTAAATTTCAAATATATAACTATAAATTTGTTTTAAAAATTTATATACATATTTTTTTATTTATTTATTACATGACTTACCAGATTTCAAATGAGCAGAATGTAATTGAGCTCTTATTTTAGCTGCATCCTCTGAAGAACCTAAATTCTCGAACAATTCCTCTTGTTCACGTACCATATCTTCGGTCATAAATCCCATATCCTATAAAGCATTTTAAGTTAATTCATTTATTGATAGAAGTTTCAATCAAGTTTAATTTGTTACCTGAGTTTCCGGCACCCATAATGGCTTGCCAGTTTTCAATAGCGTAAGATTATTAAAATGGTATAAATTTCCTTCTCTCTCATTTTCATCCTTAACTTCCTTATCATCATTCAAAGACATTTTGCCCATTTCAGAACGAGTATTTCGACCCGCAAATTCAAACCCTTGATTTGATTCCATACTAGATGAATAATTAAGTTGTATGAATGATTCCGATAAAGATGATGCATGTGGATTTGGATCAGATTGCTCGGAAAATAAAGAAGTTGTCGGAGAATTAGAATGTATATGAGAGAATGAAGATGGCGAACGACGGTGTTGAGAGGCTGATCGAATCGTATTTTTCTGGCCCCTTGGAATCCCTAAAGGTGTTGACGTTGCCTCTTCAATAGCATCAAAATATTCTTCTTCCAATTCCCCAACACTAGGCATTGGAACATAGTCAATACTTGCCGAATGATTATGCTAATAAACCGAATACAAAATATTAAGTCATCACATCAGTTTCTTACAAAATAACCAGAAACAAGATGCAGCGTTAAATCCTTACACTAGGAAATTTTACTTCTTTTTCAGCCAAAGTACAGACTTCAGAGTTGCTAGCACCGTTTGAATTTACCCGGGGAACTAAAACCATTGAAGCTGAAGTTCCGGGTGTAGCAATTTCATCATCTCCCGTTATATGGTCAAACAAACGAACAAACGGATCTATAGTTTGCTTTTGTTCCAACGGTGAATTTTTATTTATTTTATTGGACATAGAATCTAAAGAATTATTTGATGAAACTCGATGTTTTATGGAGCTTGGACTTGTGGACAAAATAGGGTTATATTTTTGATATTGTCGCATGCGTGCAATACAACAATTCATCATGCACAACTTTTGATGAATTAAATTAAATCTCATGTCTATGCCAATATTACTCAAATTAGTTTTTTCAACTGTGGAATTCTTCACTTTATTATCATCTATTGTTAAGGAATCATTTTGATGAATAATAGATGATTCATTTTCATTTTCTGACATATTATAAATGTTCACATCAGGCAATGGTTCAACTCGTTCCCAATGTCGACGAATCTCTCTAATAATTTCGTTCCATAAAATTTTCAAAGATCCTAAAAATGTACCCCTAGAACTAGTCATAGGAGAGACAGTTTCCAACAAACATTCGAGAAGGTTCCATAAAAATGATTTATAGGGAACAGTTCTGGCATCGCGAAAATTAAGTCCTAAGGACGATGCTGACAAGGGAATACCATTCAATGTATTATCATAATTATTTGGCAATATTTTATTACTTAAGGGATGAAATAAAACATTCAGAATGTTGTCAATATCTACATCGTCCATATCAACAATTCCACCAGCTGCCGAACTAGCATATCGTACAGTATCATAAGAAATTAAATCATAAGATTTGAATGTTCCCGGTATATCAGTAATCTGACCTTTTTTAAAACTCTTATTACGAAGCTTGCCCTTTGAATTATTTGATTTTTCGGCAATTTCATCGTTACAATCCAAAGAAATTATAGTTGCATCTAATATGCTGGAAAGTAATGCATGTAACTGATGTTCAGGGTAAAAATTGCATGCTAGGATCCAAATTGGAGCTCGCACAGCGTCCACTTCTGAATACACGTCATTATCCAGATATGTGTCACGCGGAGCAGACGGAAAAAAAGCAGTAAGAGATAACGACTGAAGTGGATCATTTGGTGGACCAAAAGGTAAATTTGGTACCGAGGCAATTGATGAGGTAAATTGATCAACGGTAGAATGAGAAAATCTAGAAGAATCCTTTGCTTCTCCATTTCCAAACGTTCTTTCACTATGGTTTTCAAATTCTTTAAAGATATTTTCTTCAAAAGATGATTTCTTATTATTTAATAAATTCAATGGAGTAGAATTCAATTCATTTTCATCGAGATTTTTCCAATCTTGATCATCCAAATTTTGCAATTCATATTTAAATAACCCAGCTACGGCAATTCCAAGGTGAGGCATTTTGTCTAATTCCGGCACATCAACTTGATCTGTGTAACCGAATCCGATCAAAACGATATGTGTGTCAGATCTAGGTTGGAATTTTATATCATAATTTCATAATACGGTTCATGGGTAACTTGAGAACATTACATAACCAATTGATGTATGGAAAGTAATATCTGTGAAAACAAAAAAAGATTAATTAAAATTATTAAAAACTAAAACTTACCTAAAGGACATTTATTTAAATCCATTTTTTCGATAAAGAGTTCGGTTAAACCAGTTAAATGTGAAAACCGAGCTGGGACATCACGAACATATGTAGTATTGAATCTTATCTCAACCTCACTAGCATCATTAACATTTTTCACCTCTTTATTAAATAAACACATATAACCAGCATATAAAGAATTTGCAACTTGACCATTCGGAACATAAACCGGAAGCTTGCATTTCGTATTATGAAACGCAATTGCAAATGAAGATAGTAACATCTTTGTAGTATGAAGATCTATACTTGTAGATTTTGAGGTAGCTCCAGTTGAAAAAATATCTGTTGGAGACAATACCAAGATATGAGTTAGACCTGTCCATCGATGAATCTTACTTAAATTCATTGATGTCGATTCCAGTGAAGTATTCGGTAAAGAAATAGGAAGGAATTCTGAACTCGGTAAAAATGTGTCAGGATTTGGGGGAAAAAGGGTTGTAATTGGTGGTGGAGGAGGAGGTTCCAAAGTAGAACCGCTTGAAATAGGAGAGTGGTTTATAGCAAATTCATTCCACCGTTTTATTGGGTGATAATGATATGATAAAGTATAAGAAGTGTCATCAAGAATTATTATCTCTCTTTTTACAAAAGGATCAATGCCTCCGACTATTTTAGTAGAAATTTTATCACCAAGAGGGGGTAACTTTGACTCGTCAAATATTCCAAGTTGACCATCATTTACACCCCAGCCTGTTAAAACTTCTTCGACAGTTGTAATGAATCGTTCCCAATGTGAAGCTGCAGTATAGTCAACGAACTCAAAATGTTCATCGTCATCAATAGGAGAATTTGGATAAGAAGCATGCATTTGAAAGAAAAAAAAAAGGGATATTTATCAAATAATAATAATAATAATAATAATAATAATCGCTCATATATTTTTGAAGGAAAAAAAAAAAAATTTTTTTCGGTGAAAATTTGAGATATATCAGTTTCTCAACAAAGATCCAAAAAAATTTTTAAATGTCAAACGCCCAAACTGGAAATGATCAGGATTGACATAAACTGTCTGTACATCGTTATACAAAGTACAAATTACAAAAAGTCAATTTTAGATTGTGAAAGGGTATGATAATTTTTCGTCAAGTGATTTTATATTCCTTAACAATTATAAAATATTAACAAAAAAGATAATTTGACGCAGCACTAAGTGTAGTAAATGCAAGGGTTGTTTTATAATTATGAATTGAAAACAAACAAATATATAAGCAAATAACTTATATTTAATCCTTGACATATGAAATTATTACTCGGTGCACAATATGTCACCGGGTAAGGATTAGGCTATATCAGGTTAGGTTATTTTAAGATCAGTTATCGTTATTATGATAATGATCATTAACCAATTTGGTATAACAGATGCTCAATCTTAATCTTATCATAACGATTATAATTAGTATTTGATATCTGTAAAGGGTTTATTATTTCTTTTTCTTTTTAATATGCCTTATTTTATTTGGAGTGAATTTTGTTGATTTTTCATAACCGATCATTGTAAGGGCATTATAACTACTCTTTGATCTTTATCATTACATCCTGTAAAAGAAATATATTTTACATTAAAAATTATCTTAAGTATTCAGTGGACCTGTTCATATTAATAATTGACTTGTGCTTCGCGCAGTGAAATAATGAACATCAAATGTAATGCCCTCTTTGACAATACATATTTATAAGACGGATAAATTCCACATATCTCTGATTAGATAAAAAAAAAAATTATTGGGACTAATAGGAAACCGTTGTTTAAACTTATAATATAATATCGCATTTTATTGTATACCATTTTTATCATTTGATTATAAGTATTAAATATAAAAAATTATTTCCAATATCGGTAATTATCATTTTTTTTCTTTACTCTGTACAGGTTTCTAAAGGGAGTAAAATTTTAGCGATACGCGGCATCATTCTAGTTATTCTGTTCCTTAATAAATTATCCTCTGTCCTGATTTCCTGTTAATATAATAAATGAATGAATAAGTAAATAATAGTTAAAATAGATAAGCAAATATTTAATAATATTTTACCATAGTATTAATATTGATTTCAGCACAAGAATTATCAACCTTGACTATAATTTCACTCTCAGAATTTTCTTTGTTAATCGCTTCACCGAATTGGTTTTTCAAATAATTTACGACGGCAAAGATTCGTGATTGTGAAATTGTATCTGTCAAATTTTCTATATTTTTGGGATCTTTCTCGTTAAAATTTATGTTATCATCAACCATCATGTTATTGTAATTTTCTTCGGCATGAGTGTGATGAGGATGACTTGTGACTTTTATGATATAAAAAATATTTTAAACGTTAGCAATTGTTCAAAATAATCGATTGCAACTTTTAAGAAGATTGATTAATTACTTTTTACTGAGGCAGGACTGTTCTCAATATTTAATATCACCGCGATCACAGAATCAGCGATCTTATCGTTCATAGATGTACTTGACCATTCTAGCCGAAGTTGACTCTTACTAATGTGCTTCACTTCAATGGAGTTTAAGATCTAAAGTGCGAATTTAAGTTTAATTTTTTTTTGATTGATAAAATTTAATAAAGTTTAATCATAACTTACCGTTAAAGTTGGAACATGTTCACTATCCAAAGTTTCCTCTAGAGTTCCGAACATCTGTTCAAGATGATATTTCAATAATGAAAAAGAAGAATTGTATGCAATAGTTGGTTTTTGCATAATCTTCGAAGTTGAGATACCACAAAAATCTTTGAGATCATTAGCATCCATAATATTAAACTGAAAGTCTTTGGAGACTATGATTCCTGACACAATTTGATTTTCTATCGGATACTTTGCGGCCAGGCGACCTATAGCCTATTACGACAAAATTAGTGTTAAGTAACAATGGTAGCAACATCATTAAAAAATAACGTGGCAATTATATTCATCTAATTACTTTGGCTAATTTTTCTCCTCTGAAATACAATCTTACGGGTTCACAATTTTTTGGTGAGTAAATCTTGACTTTGTCGTCACGTTCGGCGAACTTGCTCTGTAATGCGGATTTCAATCTAGCCATAGAATTTGTTTCTCCGTGCACAAGAACCTATTAAAAAATATAATTATTATTATTTAGTTAATCAACAGTTTTAAATTTTTTTTCAGATCAGTAACAACATACCACATGAGGGGCTTTAATTTCATCAATAAATTGACTATTCTGAATAAAATCAACATGAGCCGAGAAAGAAACATAATTAACGGACATTCTCAGTGGAATAGTAGCACCGGACATGGAAACTATTTCTGGCGGTTCAGTCATGGCATGCTAACAACCAAAAAAAAAACGAATTAATGTTTAAGAAAATCGTTGAATTATAAATTATTTAACAAATCAAAGTAATTACCCGAGCCAAGGTACCTTCAACACAATATCCTGTTATAACAAGGCCATTTCGTTTATCTGGACACCATCTTTCGAATAATTCTCTTGATAATCCACTCTAAATAAAAATTCTTTAGGTAATCGTTTGAAAATTAAAATTATATGAATGAAGAAATACCACATACCTGTAGCATACCAGGACTAGCCATCATGACACAAGGCCCAACATCATCAAAATCATCCATGTTTTTAAGATTTGAGATATGATTAAAGATAAAAGGATTGTTTATGGCAAATTGCTTTCGAATTTTTTCATTCATCATGTTAATGTAGGTTTGATAAACGGCTATACACTTTTTGGCTAGAGATGAAGCATAATAAATTGGCACTGATTCTAATTCTGGATGCGCTTTCCAATACTCATCGAGAATCAAGAGCAACTCTTGGGCACGACCTAACGCAAATACCGGCATCAAGCAGCGACCACCACGTTGAACAATGTCATGAACCAAACCTTCAAAATATGTTATAAATGAGTCAGATTCGGTTCTTGATTGAATGATGATTTGATTACAATGAGTGAAATGTTACCAGTAAATCTAGATTCCTTTTCTAATCTAGGTTCATGACTCTGAACTCCGTATGTAGATTCTGTGATCAACACATCAATTCTGACTGATGGAAGCTCGGCAGCCATCAAATGTCTATCTTCTTCCCGAGAATAGTCTCCAGTATACAAAATCTATAGTTTAGAATTTCACAAAAAAAAAAAAAATTTTAATTAAATTGATGACACAAGTAAAATTATAAATTAAAGATCATACATGCCTTAACGCCCGCAATTTCAATCAGAAACATAGCAGCACCCAAAACATGACCCGCATTATAGCTTGTGAACTTTATTCCTTCAAATTCTACTTCTTGATGATAATCTACAGCTTCAATCTTATCATAACTGCGCAAAAGATCTTGCTCATCGTAGAGCATATCATCCAATGCAACATTGCTATTTTTCAAATCAAGTTTGAAATTAATCAATATAATAATTATAATTAATTGTCTTAGATTTTTCGGATTATTACCTTACTCTTACAAAGTCAGACAATAACCATTTATAAATAGCCTTCGTTGGATGTGTCATAAACACTCGTCCTTGAAAGGTTGTCTTTCGATGAAAAAATATATAAATATATGAATAACTTTTTGTTTTTAAAATCAAAAATTTAAATTAAGGATCACACCTTTTCCAAAAAGTATGGCAAAGAAGCGGCATGATCCAAGTGAAAACTAAATAAGAACAAAATTCAATTTTGTAAATGAATCAAATCAAATGGGCTAATTACAAATCCATCGTATTTGCTAAAGAATTTTGAGTTAAAACCGAACAAAGACATACTGACTAATAAGCAAAGCATCAACAGCAGCAGGATCAATTTCATCATAAAATGGAAGTGCAGCCAATCCAGTATATGCAGGGTGGATACCCGCATCAAGCTATTAATGATAATCGCAAAAAATTATATATCTTTATTTATTTGTTTTTTAATGTAAATAATACACATTGATTTGAAAGATATCTTTGCTATACTTATTATAAATTATAAATAAAGAAATAAAAAAAACTATCTTATATGCAAAGACTATTTAATACCATTATTGTTTTTCCTTTGTACTGTATAACTAGACAAGACCTTCCCACTTCATTACCAGCACCTAACGCTGTGATTTGTAAAACATCATTTTCATCGTTTATAGGAATTTCGAAGTTGGTTCGTTGTGATGCCATTTATTGAAACTGTTTTGCAGATTGAATTTTTGGGTAGTTATTCTTAAATGCTCATCTGTTACACCAATCAGTACCCCAATTACATCAAAATTGAACCCCCCCCCCCCCCCCCCCCAAGTTTTAAAAAATTTTATTGATTCCCTCGGTTTAGTAAAAAAAAAAAAAAAATTGTTAAAAAATTATTTCCCGTCAACCTTTTCTCTACCTTTTTATATACCTTTTTGTCATAGTGAATAAAGACGACCGCATCTGGAAAGTTATATATGACTATATATTAAAATATTTCAAGAACGAACTATTATTAATGGTAAGAAATTGTCATGGGCGAATTAATATCAGCGGTAGTTTAGTAGACTTGCGTCAATGTCAGTTCACTTGGGTAAATTAAAAACAATAAGATAGAGTACTGGAAGTTCTTCGTGGCCTCTAGTAGGTTGTCTAGGCATGTTTTTTTTTGGGGGGTGAAGGTCTACTAATACTAGAGAATGGATTGGTTATGTCTTTCTTTTTATTTCAAAAACTATATATTTAGCGAGTTTACTCCCGAAACAAGTGCGAGAACGTCCTTCTCTATTTGTATTGTCAATTGTTTAACTTTAATTGGCAGCGTTTAAGAAATTATTCTATCATGCTGGTCAATTGTTTTTCCATTATGATTGCCCATTATTTAGTGAATATATTTGGAGAACTGGAAGCGTTTTGTGGCATCGCTCAGCGAGAACGTTCTTTTCCTTTTTATTTATCTATTTGAATACAGCCAACTTATTTGTTTTATTAATTTATTTTTAGGTACCCGTCGTTTTTGGCATTATTTCCACAATGCCGAAAGTTCAAAAGGCTAACCTCGGATCTATGAATAAAGTTAAACAAGTCATTAAAAGATATGGAGATATTTTTGTGCCAGCAAGGGATGGAATTATCCATCAAACCTTGTTTATGAATTGTTACAACCCTGCCAAAGGGTCCCTTGCTTAACGAAAAGAAAAGCAACAGGTTATCAAGGAAGAATTTCCTAACACAAAACTTGGAACAACGAGCCTATCGAAATAAGGCTGATAATGAAGCGATGTTACAATAGGTAAGAAATTGTCTTGGGCGAATTAATACCAGCAGTAGTCTAGTAGACTTGCGAGAACGTCCTTCTTCCTTTTATTTATCTATTTGTGGTTATTTAGCTTGATCTAACTTTTTTTTTAAAAAAAAAAATTTATAGATTATTTATAAATATAAATAAATGTTAGCTGTTGGATTATTTTTTTTTTTTCATAAAAGCAAGCAATAAAATTTAATAAATTTCTTCAACCTTCGTAAATGTATGCAACTCCGTTCTTTATTTAAAATTTAAAAGAAAATTGAACTCGAAAAATATTGTACTCGCATTCATATCGTTAGTTTTAAAATTTGTTGAAATGATTTAATTATTTCGAAACACGACTCTTTTTTAAATTTATTAAGCGCGAAATGACACTTGTTCATTGGTAATAAAAATTAACGATCAACATAATACCAATAATACTCATTTCAAAGAATATTGACCGACTGTATATTATAAGAAAATGATAAAATTTTAAAAAATTAAAAATAAAAAAGAAGAGAAAGAATTTGAAATAGTTAATATAAATAATAATTCAATCTAGTCCAAAAGTTATTATTGTATAAATTCCTTGAATTTTGCATACGTAACTTCTACTTTAGGTAGCTGTTATGATTTTCTTTCTTAGGTTTATCTTATAATTCTATTCATTGTTAGTAATTATAATTCCCTTCTATATATATATTCTTAGTACTTTCTCTAACTTTTTTCTCATTTTTATTTTATAGGTGATGAATTTTCATTCTAATAATGTGTCTCTTAAGGTTTATCACTGGTTATTTATAATTAATGAACAAAGTAATTATATCAGTCTTCTCATAATATTAGAATTATAGTATTTGGCTATTATTATAAGAAAAGTATCTTTTGCTTTTTTTCTTTAACAATCCCTTTCTTTACTTATATTAGTTTATTTTATTTTTAAACTGTTTTTATTTAATAATGAGATTTAGATTTTTATGTAGATCAAGGATTTTAATAATGTTTAAAGTTAAGATACATTTTATAAATATTTTTGTTATCAGATTTAAGGTAATAATTTGATAAATATTGATAGATTTTTCTTCATAAATTTGTTATCTAGTCTAAGAGTATTTTACAGTATAGATTTCTTTAATGAATATTAAATTTTGTGAGTTTTATACATATAAGAAGCTTCTTTAGTTAGTTGTTATAATCCTCTTTTTTAGATTTATTATTTTTCTATTTATTATTAGTAATTACAGTTTTTCTCTTCTATCCTATTTATTCTTAATACTTTTTTCTAACTTTTTTTTTCCTTTTTTTTATTTAATAAATGATGGATTGTTTTTAATAATCCTAAAAGATTAAATATTTTAAAAGTATTCTTATATCTTAATGCATTGCCTATATTAACATAATGAATAGCGAGTAATTTATATCAGTCTTCAAATGATATGATCATATCTTATAATATAATTTCTATCAAATATATTAATATCAATAAAATGTAATTTATTTATTAAAGAAAAATACTTAATGATTATTATAAAATTATTTTAAGTATAGAATTTTTATTAATAAAAATAATAAAAATTTTAATAAAATGATAATACAAAAAACTGAATATATTTCAATTAGTATTGGTCAACTAGATCAAATTAGACTAACTAGACTTATAAAACTGAATCATTAGACTTATAATTTCAGTAACTGGACTTATAGTCTAAGTCCAGTCAAAATAAAAATGGCCAATACTAATTTCAATAATAAGTAATTAATAGTGATTAATATTACTAAATTATAAATAAATTGATGAATTTGAAATAAATTTTCTGATTATAATTAATTTTATTTATAATATAAATATATTTAATTATTTAATAAGAAAAATAAAAACAGAATTACAAATTCTTTTACTCAATCTTAATATATAAATTAAAAAAGAAGAAAAATTGGTGTTAAATTGTTATAATAAAATGATTTATAATTTGAATGTTTAGAATTCACTACAGTGAAACCTCTATAAATGCATCCTCTATAAATGTACACTCTATGTAAATTCTCTCTAAATGTACAGTAGGCTTTAGTCCCAATTCATAAGAGCTCTTAATATTTTATTTTCTATAAATACATACCTTCTCTAATTATACATTCTGCTAATTTTTATTATAGTCTCAAGGAGAGTACACTTATAAAGGTATTACTATACCAAGTTTTTTTTATCATTACTATTAAAATCAAATTTAATTATTTTATTTTCAAACTTAACTTGATGTTCTTTTCTAATTAAATATATATCTAAATTAAAAAGAATTCTATTAAATATTTAAATATTTATCTAAATTCTAAAAGGATAAAAAATATTTTTTAATTATCATGTATTCTTTCTATTTAAAATATGATTCTATACATTTTAATAATTTATTAATCCAATAAGTAAATAATTCAGAAGTTTACAAATATGTATAAAAGTTACATAAAGTTTAAATAAAAATAACTAATAAAATCATAGAAGACTTGTATAACTTATATTATCAAAAAAGAAAATTAATAGAAAATATTGAAAAAAAAATATAAATATCTTATTTTATAATTACTAAAAAAAATTATAGATTTATAAAATGATGTTAATACTATTTTAATTTATAAATTATTTAAATATTATGAAATATAATAATTAGAGATTAAAGTTGGCACTGTAATTAAAAAGTTGCAACTCATAAGTTATAATTACTAATTACAACTTTTTAAAAATTTAACTAAAATTGCAAC